TTTTTCTATAATTATATTTTATTAATTTTCATAAACATTTACAGAGATAGTGGAGGCTAGGATTTTGAAGCTCTGTCTCACATACTTTGGGCAAATGGCCAGGAGAGATCAATCCTTGGAGAAGAACATCATTCTTGGAAGGATGGAGGGCCGATGTAAGAGAGGAAGACCCTGGATGAGATGGAATGATACAGTGTCTGGGGCAATGGGTGATGATGTGTCAGAATTAGTGAGACTGGCCCAGGTAAAGGCAAGGTTCAGATCTGCTTTACATAGGGTCACTATGGGTCATAGGTGACTCAACAGCACACAACAATAACAACAACAACATATCTATAGTCATTTGACAGTCAACAAGGAAATAAAACCTACCAAATTGGGAAATGACAACCTCTTCAACCAATGATGCTAGCAAAACTGCACTGCTACCTGCAGAAAGCTGAAACAGGATCCACATCTCACACTGCACACAAAAATCAACTCATGATGGATCAGAATCCTGAGAGTAAAGAGCAAAACCATAAAGTTCAACAGAGACAAACTGGGATCAAGCTTAGATGGCCTAGTCTGTGGTATAAAGAGACTGCCATAAACCCATAAACAGCCAGAAATGCACAGTCTGAAGAGGATAAACTTGATGAATGAGACCTTCTAAAGATTAAATCCTTGTGCGTATCACAAACTTTCCCCAACAGAGTGAAAAGAAAACCTGCTTACTGGGAAAAAACATTTGGCAATATCATTTCAGACAAGGGCCTCAAATCCAAACTTTATAGAATCCTACAGGGCCTCCACAAGAAAAAGACTAATAACACAATTACGAAATGGGCAAAAGACATGCAAAGACTTTTCACAGAGGAGGACATTCAGATAGCAACAGATACATGAAGAAATGCTCAAAATCACTGGCAATAAGAGAAATGCAAATCAAAACCCCAAAGGAATATCACCTCACCCCAGTAGCAGTGGCAAAGTTTACCAGAGCAGCAAGTAATAAATATTGGTGAGAATGTAGCAAGAAAGAAACTCTTGTACACTATTTGTGGGATTGTAAAATAGTACAACCACTCTGGAAAGCAGTTTGGTGCTTCTTAAAAAAAGCTGTACATAGAAATTCATATGACCCAGCTATTCTACTGTTTGAAATATGCCCAGAGAGAATGAAAACTGAGGCTTAAATGGAGACTTGTATACTAATGTTCAGAGCAGTTTTATTCACCATTTCAAGAACATCAAAACAGGCCAAATGTCCAACCACAACTGAATAGATTGAGAAATTATGGTACATTCCCAAGATGGCATACTACACAGCATGCAAGAGCAATAATTTTGAAAAAAAAAAAAAGAGCAATAATTTTGTCAATTACTGCCTAACTTGGAGAGACTGGAGACCATTTTGCTAAATGAAATAACTCAGTCCCATAAGGACAAATACTGTATGTACATGGCTATTATTGTAGAATGAGTATGCGAATCCTAAGGATCCAAGGAGGGGGGTGTGGGAGGGTGGGAGCAGATGGGTGAGGATGGGCAGAGTGGAAGGGCTAATTAATCATAGAATCTCAGAATTGGATAGGTAGAGGGGTGTGTGTGAAGAAAATGGGAAAGTTCTGGTATGAAAAACAATATATACAAACTTTGTAAATAAACCAGCATAAAATATTTTTTTAAAAGGATAATTACAGGTGGTGGTGGGAGAGCAGAAAAAGAACAGAGATAATATACACCGATTAGAATATGTGAAAAGAAAGTAAATATAAAATGAATGGAAGATCAGACATTATAATTAACAGTTTGGAACAGGATATTCATTGGTTTGAATAGGTAGGGCAAAGGCGGGAAAGACTAAGGAAGTAGAGATAGAAACAAATGTGGAGAGTTTAACCCAGGAGAAGTGAGAGAAGGAGTAGAAATTAGGAAATGGATGGGTAGGGTGAAGGGAAAGGACAGTGAAGTGTTGGTAAGTAAATAAAGGCATTGCATAATTAATGTTCTTAATGTTATAAGACAACATGTATATGAGTGATTGAATAACAATTAAAAATATTAATCCAAATGAGAAAGAAAAAAATAGCAACCTTTTATGATTTTACCTGAAAGACAAGTGAAACTAACCAAATGACTGTGTTATGGTTTCTTTGTTCCTTAGACTATATCCATTTTTATTATTTGTTTTTAACTTGGAGACATCAGCTCTTACTCATGTAGGCTGAGGTCCTTCTTTATTCAGTTCTATCTCTTTCCTTTTTTTTCTGAATAAATAATCTTAATCTCATTTTAATGAACTCTGGTAGCCTAAAAATAAGGTGTTGTGCTGACAACTCAAAGACAGGTTCGAATCTAGCAGCTGTTCTGTGGTAGAAAGATGGCAATCTCCTCCTGGGTGAAAATCTACTATTATATAGGGTTGGCTAATGAGCTCTGATGGGCTAGTGGTAAGAAAATGTGCTGTAATCCCAAAGGCAGGTAGTTAGACTCCACCAGCTGCTCCATGGAAGAAGGATAGGCAATCTCCTTCCATGTGATTAACGGCCTCTGAAAACCCACTGAACAGTCAGCTATGAGTCAGTTTTAACCACCACTGCAACACATAGAATCTCAGTCCCTTTGCTTTTAATACCGATGTTGCTAACATTATTAACAAACACGTTGATCCATATAACACTGGAGGCACATGGAGGGAATCCTGCATGGAGCCACTCAGCTGTTTAGTAAGACAGCCAGGACCTGTATTTAAGTATTGGATCCCCGGTTGTTATGTACCATAGAGTTGGAACCAACCCACAGATGACCCTCTGGTGGGTTTTTAGACAGTTTATTGCAGGAGAATGCCCATCCTTCTCCTGTGAAGCAGTTGGTGACCTCCAACAATACGCCTTCAGGACTGCAGCACAACTTCTTGTCACTAAGCCATGCTATTTGGCCCAAAGTCCAGGACCTTGCCTTCCTGCAATTTAATGTGACACTGTTGGGCAATGATAGATATTTTGGCTCATGTTAAGTGTTCTAGTGACTATACTGAGTGGGATCTCAAATGTATCCACAGGAGTTGCCACTAGTCAAAAGGTTCAGAAGCAGCAAGGGATCAAGAAGGAGAGGATAATACAGATGCTGCTCTGTAATTACCTTCTGTCGAGGTTGGTCAGGGAATGTGACAACTACTGTGTTGCAGATGGTAAGGGCAATGAAGAAGTCAAATATGTCAGAGAGTTCAGGTGAAAGGTGGGCTAGCGGATGCTCCTGGTGTCTTGCATTGGCCAAGTATCGGTCGCTCTCACTCACTTTCTCAAGGAGCTTGGGGTCAGGTGTGATGTCTTTCTCCTGTGATAAAATGGAAATTGAGGATCAGTCCAATCTAGGAACCCACCATGCTTCTTGATGCTTCACTTGACTTTATGGTGTAAACAAGTCTTTACCTTATACACATACATAACACGTCATGTATGAAGAGCAATGTAAATATCATTGTATAAAATAAAACATATATGCTTTTATTGTTAAATAAAGCACAAAAGAATATTTTTTACAGTAAACTATCATGTTAGAAAACTTGCAAAAGTCAGAAAAGTTTTGAAAAGCTAATGAGTCTTTATAGTGCCATCTCATACTAATAATCTTATTCTTTTTTAAAAAATATGTTTCACACGATTCTTCATTCATATTGTGCATTATACAATCATTCACATGTAGATGTTTTATACAATCAATCACCATTGGACCTTACCCATCATTTCCAAAACTTTTCAGATCCCTGTCGAATCCTTCCCTTTTCCTTCATCCCTACCCATCCTCACTCCTCTACATCCCTTTCCCCCTTACATGTTTTATGGGTCCTTGAATATGTTTTACTAGTTATAATTATGTTTTTACAATAATGGCCTTATGCAGTACTTGTCCGTAGGAGACTGAGTTAGTTCACTCAGCATAATGTTTTCCAGTCTCTCCCAAGTTATGTGGTATTTTTCTAAATCGTTCGTTACCTCTGATAGTGGCATAGTATTTCTTTGCGTGAATGTGCCACAATTTCTCAATCTTTTCATTTGTGGTTTGACATTTGGGCTGTTTCCATGTTCTTGCAACTGAGAATAACACTGCTATGAACAGTGGTGCAAAATCTCCACTTGTGTCTCAGTTCTCATTTCCTTGGGGTATATTCCTAACAGTGGAATAGCTGGGTCATACTACTCAAAATTATTCACAATAAGGAAGATGCAAATCTTTGTATACGTTCTACAGTAATGGCCTTATAAAGTATTTGTCCTTATGGGACTGAGTTAGTTCACTTAGCATAATGCTCTCCAGTCCTTCCTAAGCTAGGTACTAATTTACAAAAAAATCATTACTCCTGTGTACTGCATAGTATTCCATTGTATGAAGGTAGCATGATTTCTCAATCCATTCAACTGTGGTTGGACATAAGTGCTGTTTCCATGTTCTCATGATGCTGAATAACATTGCTATGAACATTGGTGTATAAGTCCCTCAGTTCTCATTTTTTCAGGATATATTCCAAGCACTGGAATAGCTGGGTCATGTAATATGGAATTTCTATGTTCAGCTTTTTGAGGAAATGTCAAACTGACTTCCAGAGTGGTTGTACCATTTTACAATCCCACTAACAATGGAGGATGGGTATGTGTGAGTGACATAATCATAGGGTTGCACAACTGGATGGGTGGAGGGAAGAGGGGGTAAAGGAAAGGGGAAAGAACCAGTGTGAAAAAAATGTATACAAACTTTGTAAGTAAACCAGTATAAAATAAAAAAAATTATCTATAAAAAGAAACCCACCACCAAACAGAAAAAAACAAAGTTAAAGGAAAGGTATAAACAGAGAGAGAATCATAATAAAATAATTATCAAGGGGGAATTGAGGTGTAAAAAAATTATTTAATACATAATAAAGATATTTATGTGAGTAAAGGGAAAGGCAATAAATAATATTAGCATAATAATAATATTAGCATTAAATAGGGCATGGTAATTAAGGTTATGGAATAGAATGTATATGCATGATATAAAAAACAATATGCTTCATAAACTTTTAATCAAATAAAAAATTTTACAATCAAAAAAAAAGCTGAACACAGAAATTTCATATGACCCAGCTACTCCACTGCTTGGAATATATCCTGAGAAAATGAGAATTGAGGCACTAACAGAGATTTGTATACCAATGTTCATAACAGTGTTATTCACCATTGCAAGAATATGGAAACAACCTATATGTCCAAGCAGTACCACATTCACGCAATACTATGCAGCATGTTGGAGCAATGATTTTGCAATTTACTATGTAACTTGGGAGGAATGGAAGAGCATTGTGCTAAGTGAACTAACTCAGTCCCATAAGGACAAATACTGTATAAGGTCATTATTGTAGAACATGTATGAGGATCCAAAGGGGAGAAGGGAGAGAAGGGGGGGGTGGAGGAGGAAGGCTTAATCATAGAGTTGCACAATTTGATCAGTGGAGAGAGGGGTGGAAAAGGAAAGGGGAATATCTGGTGTGAAAAACAATGTGTATGAACTTTATAAGTAAACCAGTATAAAATATTAAAATAAATTATTTTTTTAAAAGAAAGATGCAAATCAAAGCCACTCTGAGCTACCTTCTCACCCTAGTAACAGTGGCAAAGTTTAGCAGGGCAGCAAGCCATAAATTTTGGAGAGGATGTGGAGAGGCAAGAACTCTCAAACACTGTTGGTGGGATTGTAAAATGGAACAACCAGTCTTGAAGGCAATTTATTTCCATAAAAAGCAGTAACTAATTTTCAAAAACATGCTTTGTGTTTCCTTTCGTGGTTTTCAACATATGGTTAAAAAATCTATACATTTAGAATGTTTTATATACAAATCAAGACACACAAGAGTTGAGGACTCTCCTTCATAGGGTCGCTATGAGTCATCTGCGACTCGACGGGCACTTAACGATGACGAAGATATACAAATCAGAAGTTTCTTTTCTATGACTTAAAAAATTATTTTTACAAAATTTACAAAATGAAATTAACATGATGTATTTGGCTATTCCTTTATCACTGGATATTTAATTTCTTTCATTGTTCAGTTGCTATAAACAATGCTATGTCAAACTTATTTTCACATAAATCTTTGTATCACTAAACTCCTAGATTAGAATTCCAACATTCCCGACACTTTTGACTCACATTGCTAGGAAAAAGTTCCAAACGCAGCCTTGGTCCAGTGGAGTGCCTTTCCTGGTGTTCTGTACTTATCCACCAAACAGCATCAATGATTCTAGAGGACTTCTGCTTAAATGGCAACTTTTATTTTTTTTAAATTTTATTTTATTAATTTTAATGAACATTTACAGAAATTTTGGATTTGCAATCATTCATTGTTGCATTTTTCTCCCTGCCCAGCCCTCCCCACCCTTTCACTCCTCTCTTTGAAAAGTAAAAGAAAAATTCTTTCATTGGTATACAATCCCCCCGGCACTGCCTCCCCTACATGGCCCCAGTACACTCCACTATGCAACCTTAATTCTGGACTCCTGTGATAACGAAAATACCCTATCACATATCGCTTTTAAATTGTTCTCTCCCTTATCTGTTTCAGAACAGTATACATAATTTATCCAGTTTTTCTCAGTCTTACCCCAACCCTGATTTCAGTTCCATTCTACAACAGTGGCACCATGCAGTATTTGTCCTTTTGTGACTAAGATATTTCACTCAGGATAATGTCCTCCAGGGTCACCTATTTTTAATAATATTGCATGAGTTCCTTGTTTTTCAATGCAGAGTAGTTTTCCATTGTCTGAATATACCACAGCTTCCCTATCCATTCATTTGTTGATGGGCACTTGGGTTGTTTCCAACTCCTTGTTATTGTGAACAAAGCCACGATAAACATGGGTGTGCATATATCTGCTTGGATGTCGGTTATGGTCTCTTTAGGGTATATTCCCAGTAGTGGAATTGCTGGGTCAAATGGTATCTCTATTTGAGACTTTTTGAGAAAGCACCATACCGCCTTCCACAGTGGTTGCAACATTTTACACTTCCACCAACAGTGAATAAGGGTTCCAGTTTCTCTATAACCTCGCCAGCATTTGTTGCTTGCTGTTCTGTTAAATTTTGCTATTCTTACTGGGGTGAGATGATATCTCATTGTTGTTTTGATTTGCATCTCTCTTAGAGCTAAGGATTTTGAACATTTCTTCATGTGCTTGTTAGCCATCTGGATGTCTTCTTTGGTGAAGTGTCTGTTCATATTGTGTGCCCATTTTTCAATTGGGTTATTTATTTTGTTATGGGGCTCAAGTATTTTATAAATTCTAGATATAAGTCCCTTTTCTGACATGTAATTACTAAATGCTTTTTCCCAGTCTGTGGCTTCCCTTTTTACCCTGTTGGAGAAGTTTTTGGATATGCATAGGGATTTGATTCTTAGAAGGTCCCATTCATCTATTTTATCTTCTCCTGGTTGTAGATTTTTCAGGATACTTGGAAGACTGTTTATTTTGTAGATTAGGACTTCTAGAGTTCTTCCAAGCTTTTCTTTAATGAAGATTGTAGTTTTTGGTTTTAGTCCTAGGTCCATGATGTACCTTGAGTGATTTTTGTATATGGGGTGAGGTGTGGATTTTACTGGAGTCTTCTGCAGATATTTTTCCAATTTTGTCAACACCATTTGTTTAAAAGGCTGTCATTTCCCCACTTAACTGATTTCATCTCCTTGTCAAAAATCAGTTGACCATAGATAGATGAGCTGAGCTCTGGGTTCTCAATTCTATTCCATTGATGTATGTGTCTGTCATTGTACCAGTACCATGCTATCTTAACCACCATTGCAGTGTAGCAGGATTTTAAATCAGGGAGTAAGAAACCTCTTACCTTTTTTCTATTTTTAAGGAGTGTTTTGTTTATTTGGGGCTTCTTTCCATTCCAAATAAAACTGGAGATTGCTTTTTCCATCTCGTTGAAGAATGGGAGTGGTATTTGTATTGGGATTGCATTGAACCTGTAAATTGCCTTTGGTACTATTTCCATTTTCACAATATTGAGTCTTTCTATCCATGAGCAAGGGATATTCTTCCACTTCTCCAGGTCTCTTTTTGTTTCTTGTAGTAATGTTTTATAATTTTCTTTGAATAGATCCTTTGTGTTTCTAATTAGATTTACTCCCAAGTATTTAATCTTGTGATTCGCTATTGTGAAGGGTATTACTTTTCTTAGCTCTGGCTCTGTATTCTCTTTGTCACTGTAGAGAAATCCAACTGATTTTTGTATGTTGATCTTACATCCTGCTACTTTGCTGAATTGTCAACTATGTCCAATAATTTTCTTGCTGAGTCTTTAGGGTTTTCTAGGCATACTATCATACTATCTGCATAGAGAGATAATTTTACCTCCTCTTTAAATGGCAGCTTTTAAAAGGAGCTTTGCTGGCTTATTGTTCTACCAACCAAAAGGCTGTGTGTCTCCAAGTGCTTGCTCTGAGAAACTCAATGGATGGACGAAGCACCACTACAAGTCAGAACTGAGGGCAGTGAACAGAGCTTATGAGTTTGTTATTGTTGTTGTTAGGTGCCAGTGAGTCAAGTACAGTTCATTGCAACCCTATGAACAATAGACCTGAATTCTGTTCTATCCTGTGCCATCCTCACCATCTCTGACACATTTGAGTCTATTGCTACAGTCACCATATTGATCCATCTTCCTCCCTTTCATTGACCTTCCACCTTTCCAAGCATGATGTCTCTTTCCAAAGAATAACTTCTCTTAACAAAATGTCTAAAGTACGTGAAGTGAAGCTTTGTCATTTTTGTCCCCAAGGATCATTCTGGTTGCACTTTCTCCCAGACGTATCTGTCTGTTCTTTTGGCAGTTGGTGGAATATCCAGTACTCTTCCCCAACACCACAGCTGAAAAGCATCAATTCTTCTGTCATTTTTATTCATTATCCAGCTATCAAATCCATAGCAAATGATTGAATAGCCTTAGCTTCCACATCACAAAACTGATTATAAACATCTATTGTTAAAGCATTTCAGAATCAAAAGAATTTCTTTGAGATCTGGAAGTGCCATTGATATTTAGTTGTCAGCCAGAGCTAATAAGAACAGATTGCTATTGGATGAGAGCTTACCTAGTTAGGCATGCTTTCGTTGGCTCTGCTTCATCTCATTTCCATCTTATTCTGGAATTCAATCTGTATATTTGGAAGGACACGTATTCTCTCTGGGTGGTTTTGTGGAAGAATCCTAGGCCAGTGTCTTGGAAACGGCATTATTTTGAAGATAAGGTAATGGCCAGAAGAAACTGCTGCTCATTCAGTTGAAGTTGGTAAGTTAAATCTGCCCAACTATATCTCATATTTTTCTTTTGAAACAGAGCCCGCCCTTTGAGGAAGCAAGGAAGTCTAGTAGTGCAGTGGATTGTGCTGAGCAGCTCATAAAAAGTTCTTAGAATCCGCAACGTTGTGGGAGTAAGATGCAGTAGTCTCTGTCCCTAAATATTTACAGCCTTGGAAACCCTAAAGGGTTTCCAACTCTTGTTGGAATTCACTCAACACAGTGTGTGTGTGTGTGTGTGTGTGTGTACACATGTTTGCTTGCTTTTTCTTAACAAGGGAGCAACAACATTATTGGTAAGGGCTTATTACACCACACTCTGACTTCAGGGTGTACCACTCACCATGGGGCTGCTGAAGGCTGAATATTTTGACAGCACACTGGTCCTTTTGGTCCCAGCCCAGCCATTTGTGCAATAATATGGTTTGGAACTCTGGCCCCTGTGCATGATCCGAAAGCTCTGGTGGTTTCCATTGTTGCTGCGCTGGGACAATGAGGTACCCTGGGTATCTTCTTCCTCTGAGTCTGGCTCCTGATATGTGGCCAGACGCTTGGCTGTGGGAAGAAGGACAGAATAAGACATGAAGTATGGGGAGTCCAGCAGAATGGAGCTGATATTAAGCACTGACGTCAGGTCACCCAGTGAAGTTACCATGCTACACTGCATCACCAAACCATACTTCTTAAGAACTTGCAGCACCAAGGGCCTGTGGCATTGTCATTTAAATGTACCATTTAATAGCCTTTTTTTTTCACAGAAAAAGGAAGTTGCTACAGTCTCTTGATCTAGGGATGAGAGTGAAAGTGGCACCCAATATGAGGGTACCAATATTTTGGTCCTGTTCATAATGACATAATGGCTACCCCACCTCTCAGATGGGTGAACAGATATAGACAGAGATAAATTCACACAGTAAGTCCCTTCTATTTACCTAAGAGTCATGGGGCACAAAGGTTATATGACAGGTAGCTAGAGAAAGACAGAGAAGATCATAGAAACTCATGGCTTTGCCCATTATCCCAGAGTGCTGCATCACCTCCAGCAGCTTGTAAATAAGGAGTGTCCACCATACAAAGGGCACAATACTCTACTGGCATAGCATCAATACTGGGAGGTAATTGCTTGCACTTCACCCTTCCTTCTCGTGAGGTGGTCCAGGAAGAAGCCATGACTGGAGTAGGATCTGAAGCACTCCTAAGAATGTTTGTGAACTAGTTAGTCTTCTAGAGCTGCTATAACAAAATGCCACATATGGAGGGCTTATAGTAATAAATTCATTGTCTCATAGCTCTGGATGCGAGAAACCAAAATGCTATGCATTGTCAGCAGGACTGTGCTCTTTCTCCAAAGGCTTCTCCATTGCCCTGCCCATTTTCTAGTTGCCCTGGGCTTCCACAGGCTTGCAGCTGTAGCATAACACCAATTCTCCTTTCATCATTACATGACCATCTTTTCTTTGTTTATGCTTTTTCTTGTCTTTTATAATGGAGTCATTCAGATGAGATTAGGGCCCATCCATACTGTTGCTGTTAGGTGCTCTCAAGTCAATCTTGTCTTGTCCAGTGTCATCCTCAATATTGTGGATAAACTCAAGCCCATTGTTACAGTCATTGTATGGATCCATCTTGTTGACGGTTTTCTTTTCCTTTGCTGATTCTTCACCTTTCCAAACATGATACCTTTTTCTAAGGACTGGTCCCCTCCTAACAACATGCCCAAAATATAAGATATTATGTTACCTGAACTGATACTACTGATCCTATTTACAAATAAGTTCACAGGTACCACGGTTAGGACATTGACCTTTCTTTGGAAGGATACAATTGAACTAATAACAGAGTCCTTAGTGGCATAGCTGACTATTGTTCCTACCACCGCGGTGAGTGCCAAACATACCATGTGACACTGCTGGGCTCCTTAACAGGTGCTTCTGGGCAAGATTTTCTGTCTTTGCCCAATTAAGGTAACTTTTTCATCACTGATGGGATTATTAATTAGGCTCTTTAACTTTAATAAAGTCTTTCCTAAGCTCTGTTGCAGGCTTAGCTTCATGAAAGGGGCCTGGGAGTATCAATAGAGGGCCCAAGATATGAAGTGCAATATGTTGGAGTCTGTAATGCAAACTGTATTTCTGTAGCCCTACTCTGGGTCAAGCTTCCACACTCATCATATCTCAACAAGTATTTCTTTAGAGAAATGAGACTAAGGATGGGAAGTCACCTCTCCATATTCACAAAGCTGAGCACTGGTTACAGACAGGATTATAAATTCAAGAACTTCTCATTATTTTAGCAGAAATTACCTGACTATGATACACTATAGAAAGGTAAGGGAGGGGATAGGATAGAGAGAGAAGGAAGAAAAAATAAGGGGATGTAGAAGAGACAAGGAGAAAGGTAGAGTGAATGAAGCACTTCATTTATGGTGGGAAATAAAACATTTAAAAAATGTACAAGTTTTATGCTTATGTTTAATATGATTGCTTTGATTTTTATAAAGAAATTCACATTTTTAGGAAACTCATACAAATCTGTTTCTTACAGGTCTTTCTCTCAAAATCCTTCTGCTTCTCATTTTGCATTTGTTTCTATCTTTGTGAGGTGGTTTCTTTTGAGTTCTCAGATACTGCTGCAAGAGAAGAGTCACCCTAGTTGTACAGTTGGTATCCTCAGGACATGCTCTGTGGCACAAAGTCCTTACCAAACTGCTTTCTTGGCTCTGGGTTCTGGTTCCAGTCACACCTGCTTATGAATAAACTGAGGGTCTTAGAAAGATAGATTGCTATGAATACTGGAGTATATATGAGGATCAGGAAGAGGCAGCAAAGGTACGGGGCAGGGGGGTGAGGCATGGCTGAAAGGCCACTGCTCTGCTGTGTAAACTATGTTCCAGGAACTATTAATGAGTAGAAAACTTCACACACATGCAAAGATATTAAAATATGAGGTCATCTAAAGCATGAATTACCCAGCATCCTTCTGTGAATTTTCAAGTGATAACAAGAAACAGGTGGATGGATGATAATAGAAACATTTTTGTCTCTGGGCGTGGCAGGGAAGTAAGGCATCACTTTACAATTGAGGACCTTAGGAGGCCATGCTTCAACTGTTGGGAACTTGCTTTCCAGAAAATACTCATCAGCCCCAGGGCAAGACTGACAAGGGGCATCACCTCAGACTTTAGCATTGCTTTGAAAGTCATCTGTGTTTATTCTTCTTGAAAACTAGTGACATCTGTATGTGTATGTAAGCATGCACATCTTTGAATAAGGCTCTTTTTTTTTGTTTTGTTTTGTTTAGTCTAGGATGGAAACAGACCTCTTGTTCCTACTCCTTACTCCCAAACTCACCATTTGCATCATGAGAATATTCTATCCCAGACACAGTGCATCTTCGGAAAACCATCTTATTCTCAGTTAATGTGCCTGTTTTATCTGAGAAGATATACTGAATCTGTCCTAAGTCTTCTGTGATGTTCAGGGCTCGACACTGCAGCTGTGAATCTGTGTCTTCATCATACAGCTCTAAATCCTGGTTAATGAAGTATACTTGACATACTTTGACAATTTCAATGGAAACATACAGGGAAATTGGAATCAAAATCTAGAAGAAAATGGCATATAGATATGAATTATTATAAAGATTAAGGAGTCAAGGAATTAATTTAATTAAATAAGAAATTACTATAGTCACAAGTAGGAAGCACACTGTACCTTTAAGACTTTAAATAGATGAGTTTAGATGCAATGGTGGTAAAGTACTAGAGTATTTGGGTTTACATCTAATACTATATTTACTAGTGTTCTTCGACTGTTTGTAAAGGTTTTGAAGGCCTGATAGTTCATAAGTGAATGGTCAATCCTGCTTCCTAGTCTGTCTTAGGGAGCTCTGCTGAAACTTTTCCACCATGAGTGGCCTTTCCGGTATTTGAAACATGAGTGGCATAGCTTTGAGCATCATAACAAATCACAAGTTACCCCACAAGTACAGCACACTGACAGACACATGCTGTGCTAATAAGAGCAAATACTAAATAAGCAAGAATATATACACCTAAGCTATAAAGTAACTATCAACATGCAAATTATTCCCCAATACATCAAACTAACATATGGATGTTGTACCCCTAACAGCAAACTATAGAAACAATCAGGCATACAGATAGCATCATGCAGGTACCAACAGTCAAGAAATAAAAAGACATAACATTGCCCTGGGGAAGTCGGCTGTCAAGGACTTCTCCAAAGTACTAGGGAACAATGGTGTCAGTTAAAAAATTGTAGTTTACCCAGAACATTTGATTGTTCTTATGAGAAAACCTATGCTTGGACCAGGAGGTCCTAGTCAGACAAAGCAAGGAAACACTGTATGGTTTAAGATCTAGAAGGGTGTATGCCAGGAATGTGTCCTATCTCCATATCTTTTTAATCGCTATGCAAAAATGATCAGCTGGGAAGCTGGAGTCTATGAGGAGGAATGTGGCATCAGGATTGAAGGAAGACTCATCAACAATCTGCATTATGCAGATGATACAACCGTCCTTGCTGAAACTGAGGAGGACCTGAAGCACTTGCTGCGGAAGGTGAAGAACTATGGCCTTCAATATGGATTGAAGATCAACATGAAGAAAACAAAGATTCTCACCACTAGGCCAATTGGTAGCATCATGATAGATGGTGAAGAGATTGAAATTGTTGACAGCTTTAGTTTGCTTTCTCCACAATCAACACTCTTGGTGCCAGCAGCCAGGAAATCAAAAGAAGAATTACATTGGGAAAGTCTGCTGTCAGAGACTTCTCCAGTGTACTGAAGGGCAACACCAGCAGTCTGGATACTAAGGTGTGTCTGATCCAGATCATAGACTTTTTGATTGCTTGCTATATGTCAGTAAGCTGGACAATGATGAGGGATGATAGTGAATTGATGCCTTTAGCTGTGGTGCTGGAGAAGAGTATTGAATATACTATGTACTGCCACAAGAACAAACAGGTTTAATCCTGGAGATGGTGAAACCAGGCTACTTCTTGGAGACAAAGTTTCTGAGTTTTCGTCTGACACACTTTTGGGCTTGCTGCAAGGAGGGACCAGTCGTTGGACAGAGACATTAGGCTTGGAAGGGTGGAAGAAAAGCATAAGGGAGGAAGACCCTTGATGAGACGAACTAATTCAGTCACTGAGATAATGGGAGTAAGTGTGTCAGAGACAATAAAGTAGGCAGGTTTCAGGGCTATATTTGCTATAAGTTGCAAGCAACTCAATGACACATAATAACAACAACAACAACAACAATGATTTTATAAAACAAAATGTGATTGAAGGAGAGTGTGAAACACAATGTATATGAATTTTGTATGGAAATTAATAAAAAAACAACAACAAACCAAACCAAGCAAAAAACTGCGGTGTCCCTGATTCAAGCCATGGTCTTTTCAATCACCTGCTATGCATCTGAAATCTGGACAATGAATAAGGACGACAGAAGAAGAATAGATGCCTTTGAGTTGTGATATTGGAGAAGAGTGCTGAAGATCTCATGGACTATCCAAAGAACAAACATAAATATGTCTTGGAAAAAATGCAACCAGGGAATTCCTCACAGGCAAGGATGGCAAAACCTAATCTCATATGCTTTGGATATGTTGTTGGAGAGGTTATTACTTGGAAAGGGACACCATTCTTGGAAAGGTGAAAGGTCAGGAAACCTTCAATGATATGAATTGACATTGTAACTGCAGCAATAGGCTTGAGCATATCAGAAATGATGGAGATAGCACAGGATCAGATTATTACGAGTCATACTTAACATGACAGCGACTAGCAACAGCAATAACAATGAAATTATTTGCAAAGAAGTTAAATATAGATAGCCTATGGGGATGCTGCAAAGCAGAATTTCTCTCTACTGAAGGTTTAATAGCTTGGATAGAAGAAATTTTACTATTAGAGAGAAACTAATAAGGGGAAGAGATAGGAGTCCTCATTAGAAAAGTCATCTTGCCTGAAGATCAAGGACTATAGCCTTCATTATAGATTCTATCTCAACAAAAATCCTCATATCTATCATTACAAATGGAGAAAAGGAGCCACAGTTAATTCCTACGGAAGCAACAGTCAAAAAAATCAAATGACTTTGTGAATTGTGCAAATCTGATGCCAGGGATCTCTTTACAGCGCCAAAGAGCAAGAATGAACACCACTTTAAAGACTCAGACATTCCTGACTCAAGATATGGTATTTTACATTGACTCATTTGCATGTAAAACTGTACAGTAAATGAGGAGGACTGAAGAATTGGGACTTTGCATTGCAGTGTTGACAAAGAATATGAAATGTGTAATACACTTCTGGGGGGAAAAGGAAATCTGTCTTGGAAGAACTTAAGTAAGAATGCCCTTTAGAGGCAAGGATTGCACAGCATACTTTTGGCACATTATTAGAGTGACCAGACCTTTGAGAAGTACATTCTGCTTAGAAAGGTGGAGGGTACTAGAAGGATAGGAAGACCCTCAATGAAAGTAATTGGCACAGTAATTGTTACAGTGGACTTAATTTAAGGAGAGTTTGCGGGGATGATGCAAGTACAATTGGAGTTGGGTTTTTTCCTTTTGTAACTGTGAGCTGACTTGATGATGCTAAAACAACAACAACAATTATAGATAAAGCACATCTTGTATGAAATGTTTACTAGGATAAAACATGATAGTGTTTATAAGAATTCAATTATACTTACTATGTGTTGTCACCAGTAAAGCACTAATTCTTTGAAATCACTAGTTAGAACAAGAACCACAGTAGAGTCAAGCCTCAGATGACAACACAGACAAAACCTACCAGATAAAATATATCTCACACTACCTTTGTGGAAATATTTTTAAAGTTAATCTCACTTCTGAACAAGCATATAATTTTTATTACATGTTGTTGTTGTTGTTGTTATGTGCTGTCTAGTTGTTTGCGACTCGTAGCGGCCCTATGTACAACAGCCCTAAACCCTGTATCCTGTGCCAATCGCACTGCCTCTGACACTCCCATCCCGATTACCCCAGTCACTGATAGAGGGTCTTCCCCTTCTGCATTGTCCCTCCACCCTCCCAAGCATGATGTCCCTCTCCAAGGACCTGTCCCTCCTTACAACATGTCCAAAGTATGTCAGATGAAGCCCCAGAATCCTT